TCTACAAGTCCCCTATTCACAGTCCAGGAGTCCAGTTTATCCAGTCACGCCGCCCTGTGTGTTGTGCCCGAAAGAGAACAAACACATTTTCAGTTTTGCTTGCCTCGTGGCAGCGCATTCCTTTCTTCACTTTAGCCATGGCTGCCAGTTCTGCTGTGCAGTTGCTGACAGTAATCTGTCTCGAGGTAACCAAGGAGGATAAGGAGACGTTCAAAATCAAATCTGGAAAGCGTCTTGTGGTTCTCTGAAGACGTTTCATCAGTGCGCGGGATGAAAGCAGAAATTGCTGAACGAGAAAAGTTCAGCACAGTTCAAATCTGACGAGTCAGGTACACTGACACTCTCATTCGTTCGACGCCACAAGGATCCCCTGTTTGGCTGGCCATTGCTGCCAGTAAGACGTTTGAACGGTTTCATCAGAGCGAGGGATGAAAGCAGAAAGCGGAGAAAGAGAAAGGTTCAGCACAGTTCCAATCTGACGAGTCAGATACACTGACACTCTCTTTCGGTCGACGCCACAAGGATACCCTGTTTGACTGGACAAGAGCTGCCTGTACCACCGTGTCAAAAGGCTGTCCAACTACATGACAGGACGATGACTGAGGTAAGGAAGCTTTTACTCGTTTCGATTGGTCTGCTGTTCTGTCGTTATGCTTGAATTTGTTTCCATTTTCAAGGAGCGTATCGTGTTTGTTTGATGTTGCTTGAATGAATGCCCTAAAAGTAATCAACCACTTCGTAATAGTCCTCAAGGACTGCAAGGACTTTGCATCAATCGTATACGATCGTCTAGCTATCATCAATTATTATAATTATTTCATGAGAAATGTATTTTTATCCCTGTGAAAATTATGTGAAACTCCACGACACTCTTCCTCTACAAATTATAGTATGATGTCAAATACAATGGGATCCACAAACGCAGTGCCAGTGTACTAGTAGTAGTAGGAAGATTGTTTGTATGCCAATGACAAGAAAGAGCTTCTCAAGCTAATACTCGTATTCCCTGAAGTAACCGTTTTGATGTCACGAACATGACATTGTGTCAGTGAAACTGCCTCGTGACAACAAATCATTGCATTTCCATCTTGGGGAAGACTGACTGACGGCAACGCTGTACAGATTGTTCAAATCATCTCATTTCTATTTAGTTGCAGTGAAACACTGTGTACACTACATGTATGTTGGTGTGTCTGTGCATCTTGAGTGTGCACAAACGATCTTATTCCTCGTATTACTAATAGATTATTGTCCCCACCGTCACCTGTCCACAGGTCTTTGAGTGGATTGATTTTCATTGAGCATCACATTCGTTGAGAACTTGGTAGTTGTGTGCTCCCTTGCATCATTACGTTAATAAGCGTATCCTTGTGCTGTCTATTTGTTGCAGGTGTGCTGATCTTCAGAAGCTTGCGGAACTGAGTGCTGCTGAACATTTGCATGGCCACGAGCAATGGTGAAGCTTGCTATTGCACTCTCAGCATGTGCTAGTATTATGCTGACCACTGCACTATGTTACTCTCTTACACTACTACGTGTATGTAAACGTGCGTGTACCCGTCCCCGTATGCATTCGTTTCGTATAATTTGTTATCCCTCTTGACTTTACGTGTAAATGGGTGGATGTTTGCATGGCTGTTGGAGTTGCGTGTGTATTGTGTCTCTACTCTTTTCTTGGTGTTTTCTTGGCGTTCTATAAGTTTGTGTGTGTGGGTGTGTGTGTGTGTGTGCGGCTGGAGACGAGTTGCGAGTAGCACCCCACCGCCACGGCCCATTTCGTCGACCAGGAGACCTGAAACGACATGCCAAGTTCTGCGCTCGTGTTCTCACTTGAACTTTCCGACATTCGCTATCATTGCGTACGCAATGGGCAAGATCAAGGTCAAGGTGTGTGTGCGCGCGCGCGCGCAATAGTTTGAAAACAAATAATTAATCCTGGGCTCTCCATTATTCTCTTTCGATTCTTGTGTTTTTCTAGGTATTTTCTTGGCGTTGTGTGGGTGTGTGCATGTGTGTGTGTGTGCGTGCACAATAATTTGGCAACACTGCATGATTGAGATATTGTAATTTGCAGCGTCTGCGAAGAGACCACTTGATTTGAGGATGGTGTTTGTAGGGTTTTTCATGTAGTGAAGTGGCTGCAGTGGCGCCTCAATACATATTTTTTATCTTGAGAAGTGAATGATGTAAAGGATTAAAGGGAGAGGCCGTTTTCTGGTTAATATTCACTGCTTACAGCAGATCCTATGTCTAATTTCGAACTCGATAGGGGATGCCTAATTGGCCGGACTTTATCACAGAGACAGGGAGTGTTGTCCACATAAAGACTCTTTAATTCCCGTAGCTATGCAGAGGACGTTACTTCAGTAACGTCTAGCGCTAGCCAGGGTCCACACAGCTTTAATTTGGTGTTTGTGTGTTTGTTTGTGTCACGCCTGGCGCTATCCGTATCTGACGGCAAAAAAGCATAGGATGTTATAAATTTTTCAATTCTCCTTTTTTTTCAGGCATATCCTGGGATTCGAACCCGCACTATCGTCCTACATGCATTCCCCCATACACTTCGCATTCATACCCATTCTTCCAAGTTGCTTTACGTTGTTATCTTGCGTTTGAAAGCCCTATTTGAATATTGCGGGCAGCTGTATGTGGCCAGCTGTGTTTGATGGTACGGTACGGTACGGGAGACGGTGTCGTATTACCCTCGATCGTACCTGTCCCGTACCTATCCCCTACCGTACCGTGCCATCAAAGACGGCTGGCCACAATGCATATTCAAATAGGGCTTTCAAATGCAAGATCACAATGTGAAACAACTTGGAAGAATTAGTATGTATGCGAAGTGTATCGGGGGATGCATGCGGGGCGCGCGATAGTGCGGGTTTGAATCCCAGGTTATGTCTTGAAAAAAAGGAATTTTTTAAAGAATTTATAACATCCCTTGCTTTTTTTTTGTCTAGGTCATCAAGGCAAAAAAGCATAGCGTAGGGCCCTGAGCTTCCAAGCTCTCTCGTCTTTATAGTTGATTTCAAAATTTGGACTCCGTACAGTTGATTTTGGACCAATGGACTCTATATAGGGGTGAAGCCATTTGGCTGGACTCTATACAGGGAGTGATGTCCATCTAAACTGAGCTCATAGTTGATTCCAATTTTGGACTCTGTACAGTGGATTTTGGACCAATGGACTCTATATAGGGGTTGGACATCATATAGGGGCTGGACGCTCTACTGAGTCCAACACATATTATGTAGATAAGTGTTACCCAGTTCAGGACTGTACATTAGCCAGTCTGCAGGAGGGATAGTACACTAGCCAGTCTGCAGGAGGGATAGTACATTAGCCAGTCTGCAGGAGGGATAGTACATTAGCCAGTCTGCAGGAGGGACAGTACATTAGCCAGTCTGCAGCAAGGACTTCAAACAATACGAGACTCTGAATAATTATGCTCCAACCTGAGCAGTGTGGTGGGGTGTTGGTGCACAAGAACATCATCTGGTTATCGGCATGGCAATGTGTCTGCCTCATTGGCGCGATTTCCACAATGCAAGTAATGACACAAATCAAGAGCCCAGACAGAAGTGTTGAACTCGTTGTCTTACCGGATCGTAAACTGTGCGGCTCTGTCACAGGTCCTGCTGTCACTGCTGTTGACACTGATGATGAAGACGACAGAGAGCTGGATGACGTCGTTGCTGGACGGGTGCTATTCGATGACATAACTGCATGAGTCGTGGCACCTGATGATGCCATGGAATGAGTGAATGCCGACGTCACGGCTGGAGTAGCCCGACTCGCTGTGCTACTACTGTGGTCCGCAGTGGATACCGGCTTTGTCTGGGTGGTGTCGGTAATGGGCACGGTTGACTCCTTGGAACTGGATGATGTCATAGATGTTGCCTTGGAAGTGGATGATGTCATAGATGATGTCATAGGTGTTGCACGTGTTACTTTTCCACTTGTTACCGTAGATCCACTGGGTGACGGGAAGCTGGTCGGTGTGGTGACTGGTATTGTTGGTGCTGTTGACAGTGGTGTATTCTTGTTGTTGGTGGTGGTGCTGCTGCTGCTGCTGCTGGGCTGTGATGGTTGCGTAGTGTGGGGTTTAGTTTGAATTGTTGTTCCAATGGCGGAAGTAAGAGGAGGAACTGGAGGAGTTGCTGTTGGCACGTGACTAGTAGAGTGGCTTGACACTGCTATGCTTGATGTACTTGCGTGTGGCGAGCTGCTGCTGCTGCTAGTGGTGCTGCTGCTGCCAGTGGTGGTGCTGCTGCTGCCTGTAGCTTTACTGGATGTAATGTGTGTGCTGGTCGCTGGCTCAGTGACTGTGATGGTAGTAGCGTTGCTCGTGGCTGTGGCCGATGTAGAGATTGATGGAGCACCTGTGAAAGTCGTCGAACATGGGTCTGCAAGAACGAGATATGGAGAGAGAGAGAGAGAGAGAGAGAGAGAGAGAGAGAGAGAGAGAGAGAGAGAGAGAGAGAGAGAGAGAGAGAGAGAGAGAGAGAGAGAGAGGGAGAGAGAGAGATAGACAGGGAGGGAGGGAGGGAGGGAAAGAGTGTGAGAGAGAGAGAAAAATGAGAGAGAGAGAGTGTGTGTGAGAGAGAAAGAGAACACAAATAATTGTTTATGCACCAAGGCTGGCACACAGCACTCGTGTGAACATTTAAAAGTCTTCACATTGCTTGCCAAAAAACTGATTCTTGAAACAGGATTCAATACACAGCACATTCTTATACAACAGGGACTGGGAGGACAGTGCGTGTCGAGCATATTGCATTATAGGAAGCTGTGAAGATCTTTATTTTTATTTTTTTATGTTTTTATTGAAAACCACAACCCTTCAGACCTGTGAATGTGCACAATGTCATATACAGTGTACGTGCGTATGTATAGAGAAGGCAACACAGAAACGGCAGTGGTGGTGAGGCCTGGGCAGCTCGTCCGACCTCGACCATATTCGCTTCCAATGCAGCGAGCGAGTCGCTGAACAGAAGCGAAACCGTTGAGTTCGCAGCTCGAAACACAAAATGATCTTCTTGTACTGAAGTAAGTCATCCTCTACTCCCAACCATAAGCGAAGATAAAAAGGTGTAACCGGACGACACCCTACAAGTAAAAATGGTGCTTCAGAACAAGTGAAACGGTGCTTAGGGTCAAATTTTGAGGTTTTGAACTATCCTGTCCATGTGTTAGCCAATCCCTCCAGCTATCATAATAGGACAAAACAAAAATGGAAATCCGTCAACAAAATGCTGCCGGGTGGCGATTCTATTGTGCGATCTTTAGCCACGAACGATGGCAAGTTCAAATTTCGAAAGCGTTTTCCTCCGTTCCGGTCAAGTGAAGCCAAGCACCCTTTTCATATGCACCGTGCCAAACGGACTTCTGGTAACATGACCCTTTACCGTATTTTACTGGTTGTAAGTCGACCACCAAACTCGGGGCCTCGGTTTACCAGTTTAATGGGATTTTCGGTCTTTGACCATTTTCTGGTGAGCTGATCTACTCACCTCCCACCGCTTTAGGAGCTGCATCTGCGCCTTGATCCTTGAAGGGTGGCGGCGTTCCTACGGATGCGGAAAACTCGGCCTCTAGCCGAGTCTGACGCGAGCCGTGAATATTTTTTTACCCCGGTTGCAAGTCGACTACCCCTTCTTAGGTCAATGTTTAGGTCATTAACTCTTTCACCGCGGATGACGTACATGTACGTCATCCTAGATGACGTCCAGGCTCTGATGACGTACATGTACGTCATGGTATAAATACCCGGTTTTAGTCTTCTCCTCACGTGTGTTGTCACTGCTGGTCAGTTGGTACAGTTCCTGCCTCATGTACGAGAGGTTGCGGGTACGGACCCCGCTTAGTTACGTTCTGCGTCTCATTTTTCCCTTTTTTCGTCTGGTTTTTCAACTGCAATTGCCGACTTTGCCGTATTTTATGCAAATTCAGCAAACTTACGTGTCCTATACAGCTTTGTACCTCTTTTTGGGGAACCTATCGAGTTTGTCAGTGTGATGTTGGTAGCTTTGGCCTTCATTTCCCAAAAGTTCACCGACCCAGTTGCCTGAACCATAACGTAGTGGAGTTGGCCATCGGCCCTATTTTTCGGATTTTTTCCAGAGCCTGTGTGCACAACCCTGCAGCAGTGAAAGGGTTAATATGTCGGCTAGTAACCAGTAGAATACGGTATTTCCACAGTGATTAATTTTGAAAGGATTGGGAGACCTTCAAATTCAAAGGATCAGTCACGGAAGTGGTGCAAGGTCCCAGGTTCGAGTCCTGGTGGTTCCGGCATTTTTTCTCTTTTCAGGCAGTTCACTTCTCCGACTGACTAATCCTTTGAATTTCAACAGTGACTAAAACTCACCAGTAGGATCGCATATACACATAGGGCAGTGCTGCTGCGTGTACTGATAACGACCGTGTGGGCACGCTTGTCTGCACTGCATTGCGTAACAGCCAGCGACACACATACTGTACAGGTTGCTCAGACCAGGATCACTGCAGCAGATGTCGCCAGTCGAGCCTGTGAGCGTACAGTTTGCATCGCTATTGCAATCTATCCAAGACACTCTCTGCGGCAGCTTGCTTGGACAGCCGCCGCCTATCGTGCGATTCGAAACATGAGGAGTAGTGCCGGGGGTGATATCTGTTGGAGTTTCTTGGGTTGGAGCACTCGTGATGCCAGTATTACGGCAGTAACTGTTCTGTACTGTGAGTAAATAGATAGACAGACATGTACACGAAAACAAGAAATTCCTACAATCATCCCACACATGTCATTTAGGAACTGTGTTATACACTGGTTGAGTGTGTGATGGCCAGCTCGTACGCCATATTGGGGCAGGCACCTGGAGAGCTTTGCAGTGGGACCTACTGTAGCAAGGCAATGTTCATCTCCTCTCCAGGTATTGACCTTCTGCTCACGTGACTCGATTAAACACTGGTCAATACGACGTATACTGAAGCATAGCACAGAACCTGAGATTGAGGTTAACAAACAAGGAATCGTCTCAATATTGCTCAACAGAAACAGACAGACAGACAGACAGACGTACACACACACACACACACATGCACAGATAGAGAAGAGAGAGAGAGAGAGAGAGAGAGAGAGAGAGAGAGAGAGAGAGAGAGAGAGAGAGAGAGAGATAGAGAGAGAGAGAGACACACACAGAGAGACAGAGAGAGAGAGAGAGAGAGAGAGAGAGAGAGAGAGAAATATAGATAGATAGATAGATAGATAGATAGAGAGAGAGAGAGAGAGAGAGAGAGAGAGAGAGAGAGAGAGAGAGAGAGAGAGAGAGAGAGAGAAAGAGAGAGAGAAGAGAGAGACAAAGAGAGACAAAGATATGTACACTGAGACAGACAGGCGGGGATCAATTGACACAGACAAAGAGATGGAGAGAGTGAGAGACAGAGACAATGAGACATTCAGACAAGAAGGAGAAACATCATACCATCAGCCTCCTCATCCACTTCTGTCAAATTGAATAG